CTGGACAGGTTGAGGAGTAACGAGAAACGGAGAGAAATGTCGGAGATGAATGTCAAAACGGTGAGAGACGGTATTAAGAGGTATCAGGATGGCCAACAGGCGAGGGTGGATCAAAATTCCCCTAGATCGAACGCGTACGAGAGGAAGAGCACGGCCGACTCGTCAACGAGGAACAAGGAAGAGGAGAAGACAAGCGTCAATCGTAGAAAAACTTCGAGCGTGATCAAGAATTTTGGTAAAAGCAGTGCGAACAAGATGCCCTCCGAAAAGGCGAAAAGCTTGCAGCAAAGGGTGATGGCCTCGAAGTTGAACACCGGTTTTCACAACGACAACGTGGCCGGTGCTCGATCGACGCGGATCAGCAAGTCGAGCAAGTCGCCAGTCGGCGAGACGAAGTGTTCGAGGGTTGGGAAGGTGGAGAAAGTCGAGTCGAGTCGGATTCAAGAATTGAAGGAAAACGGGCCAGACGACTTGAAATTGCCTCGTCGCGACTCGAAGGCTGGCATAGCTATGCAGGCGGGATTGAAGAAGTATATCAAGAAGTTGAAACGGGTGTTGTCCGATCGTGACAACACGGATATCGGCGAGTTGGCCTCTTTGAGCCTTACCGACGCCATCTTGCCCGATCTTGAGTCGACGTTGTCGTCGATCGAGGTCCAGGAGGTGCAGAATCTGTTGAACATGGCCGAGAAGAAGTCCGAGTTGTTGCAGAAGAATATTCCTGTATTGTGATATTTTCCTTTCACCCTCTGTACATATATATATTTTTTTCTCTCTCTTTCTTTTAAGCGAAAATAATATCATATCAATGCCTCTTCTCTCTTCTTCTTCTATACGAATCGATCCGCAATCTTTTTTTAAAGCATTTTTTTGATATCCCTTCAACCGCTTATCCCGATACGATTCCACTTGTTTTCACTCGAAGAAAACACTCTGTACATCCATTTCATCGATAAATATTGTAACAATTATACATCTCTCGAACTTGGCAACTTTTTGTAAAACAGACAATTCTATTTCTGTGAAGGAATCTTTAAACTTTGATATAATGTAATTTGCTATAATATAGTTTGATGTAATAATATATAATTTCATATATTTTAATTCATTGATTCTTATGCTGATTCTTTTTTTTTTTTTTTTTTTTTTTTTAGGATTAAATAAATAAGGATATTTTGTTTTAAATTAAATCATAGGAGGTTGTAGTGAGTATCATAAATGAGAAATTGAACGTCTGATTAAGAGGAATATGGTAGAAGGGAAGTTGGAAGAGAATTTAGATAAAGGATGATCGAAAGGTCTCGCACCTGTTACCATTTTAATTAAGACATTTAGACAGTCGGGGTATAATTTATGGTAATAATCTCGTGGTAAGTTCATAGCTGTTCTTCCTCAATATTAATGTAATGCAAGCATTAAATGTGCAATATTTATTTATTGCTATTTTAAATTTTAATACGTATTAATTTTACGTTAACGTAAATATTTTCTCGAATAAGAAAATAATTATAAAAAGTTTTTTGAGAACTGTATTCGAATTTAATAACTTAAGATATTGTTCTTCCTGTAGTTAAAAATAAACAAATTTTTATTTTATCACGGACAACTAACCGTTTCTCAATTGTATTACGAATACACAGGATTTGATTTTTCCTCTCTTTAACCTTCAATTCTCGGTTTTTTGAAAATTTCTGTTCCACAGAATTCATTGTATGTGAATCGATTTTTAAAAAAAAAATTCTATTAACAGAATTTTGCATTTGATCTATTGCTAAAATTTATAGTGTTGAACAAATTCGATTTAATCGAGAAAACAATTTATAAATAAAATTTTTTATAGTTATTCTATATACCATTTCATAAAATTTCAAATGATTTTAAATAATAATATTATTACTATTCATTTATTTTTAATTGATCAACAATATTTCGATACTACAATATACTAACAAGGAATATGCAAAATTTATCACATTCGTAGTTAAACAGAATTACAATTATTAAGCAATTAGGTTACATCAGTAGACAAATTTTCCTTTCAATACAATATTAAAATAATATATTAATTAAAGAAATTGAAAATTCGAACCAAAAATAAATCGTACCTAATTTTTAATAGGTTTAAGAATTCCTAAGAAATGCTGTGTAATAATATCAAAAAAATTATAACAATCCCATCCATTATTTTATTAATTTCGAAAGAATCAAATGAACAACTAACGTGGTCCCAAACATAACATAACAGACAAATTAATCATTATATCTAATCGTTAATATAATAAAAATAGAATTGAATTAAAAAATATTGTTTCAAAAAAGTAAAACTTTTAAAATCCTTGCAATTCCAGAAAAAATTAATTTCACAGAAATCGTCTATAAATCTATACTAACTTAATCTGAAAGATTGGGGACAAAGTGACAAAAAATTGTAATTTAAAGTACTTCTGCGTGAACTTCATTCCTCGTCATTTAAATCTACGAGGTTCGTTAAACGAGTCCAAGTATTCTTTTAGTGATTTATGCATTTGCGTGTTGTCACTGTCGACTCGAAGTGCCTGCTATTAATGATACATAATAAGAAAAGAGAACGTCACTGATGACGGGACGTGAAACTATCCATGAGACACGTATAAACACGAGCCAACTTTTCACGATGATACTAACTTGCGACCAATCTTTGTATCGCGATACTCTGCAATCTCGTTTAAGTTTTACGACACGGCACTTAACCGTTCAGGCTGACCCCGTGATTTTCTTCTAGCAATTCCCAGAAGTTTTGAGACCGGAAACGAGTCTCGTTGCTAAATGAGATATTCGAGATTTCGCTATAAACCAAGAAAAGTGAAGTGGAATTAAGATTTTACTTTCACGAAACCTTTTAAAATTTTTTACAGAATTTATTCCATTACTTATCAATGGTATATGTGTCGTTGCAATTAAATATAAGATCATTGAAACATCGTTCATTGAAACTTCATTAGAAGTAGCATTCGTGCATTTACAGGGAATTGCACTACTTCTGTAACTTCTATAATTTTAACATTTAATAAAAAATTATGAAAAAAATAATTTACTATATACTACTACTAAATAAAAACGAACGATCTTCGAAAAAGATTTTACTATAAACTACAAATAAACGCAATAAATTATTACCAGTTTTTCAATGTACGATATAAATTACGAGAAAAAAAAAATCATTGTAACAAATGATAAATTCCTCGTTTTAAGAAATTCTTCAAATGACAAAATGGGTTCACGCGAAACAATTTAGATACGTAACTGGTGCAAGCGGGCCGATTAAGAAAATGTGCCTTCGAGTGACATTGATTAATATTCTCGCGCGCGGGCGCATTTACGGAAGTCGTGGAACAGCTGATTTATATTCCCGTGTCCGGATGCAGTACGCAATTTCGCTTCAGAAGGGTTTACCACGGTGCTATTAACGATATTCGGGTCACGCGACTTCTTGCTGTCGGCATCGTCATCACAGTCGTTTCACGCCGACACTAGCGGTCTCTAGCGACATTGCAATTTCATCTTCCAGTCCGGAAACTGCACGTTTTTCGTCGATTACAAATAAAGGATAAGAGAAACGTTTATATATTTCTTAATTTACTCAAAACGAACCCCTAAAATAATTATTTATTTCGATATTATAAAGTTAATCTATATAAACTACAAGATTAAAAAAAAACTCTTAACATTCATATACTATATTAAAAATATATATTTATCATTTTTATAAATTCATTTCTCTTTATTTAATAAATAGGACGATAAAAATAGTTTAAATTACTTAAATATATCCCTTTATGTTTTCTTATTTTCCTTTGTTTTATTAGAAAATTCATTCTTAATTTAATTTTTTTATCCTTTTCTTATTTTACATTTTTAATTGTTACTAAAAAATTCCAAGATTTTCAACTCGGTCGTATTCCAGAATTAATGTAATTGGATCAAGAAACCAATTGTGACATAGGAATTCAGTATACCTTATGCATTAGATCACTTGGAAAAGTATTCTAATAGTTTGAATGGTGACGATAGGCACGATATTCTGTTCTACATCACGACATTTGTAACACTTGTATACACGAACTTACAAGAGATTGCTTGAGTTAAACTAACACTAGAAACTATCGATAAAGCTTGACAAGGCAATATCCATTTCCTAGTGTACCAATTGACTGTTAAGATTGCTTTTTGCCACAACTATCAATGAGTTGTTTATCACGTCGCTCGTTTGTCGATCAATAGATTTGCTCAAGATATAAGATAGAATTGACATTTTATTCTATACTTTGAAATATTGACCTCGAAACGAAACAAAGTGTTTCTTACACATTCTATATGTATTAATATATTAAAAAGTATATTTAATATTTATTTTAAAAAGAGAGAAAAAATTTTTTTAAAAATAATTTATACCTTCTTTATATTTATTAAAGTTAACATATTTATAAAACACTTTTGTGCAAAAATTGATATACAAAAATTGTTGGTTAAGGCTTATTTATTATACAATTTAAATTTGCGTTAGATGAAGATGTAAATTGAAACAATCTAATTACATTAACTCTCTTCATCTAACGCAAACTTAAATTGCTTATAATCCAATATATATAATAATAATTTATTAATCCCTTTATTGTTTATAAATTAAACAATAAATTAAACCCGAAAATAGAAATATCTTATTATGCAGTTTAAATTGATCTCTAACTTTAAACGGAAATAAAATATTCCTCTATCCTGAAATATGATCCATCATAAAATTTATCATAAACAAAAATATTCGACTCATTTGAAATTGTTTACCTTACCAGAACTAATAACCAATGCAACTTTTCCATCAATCTAACAATTATATCTTCCTTATTAACCATCTCCTCCATTACAATGCTGGCGGAGTGGGGGAAGCTTCGCGACCTTGACTTAGCCAACGCCTGGCTCAGACTATAGTCAGAACCTAGCTTATCCAACGATTCTGTTCACAGATCAGCACTCGAGACAGTATCAGCTCCAACAACTGCGCGAGCAACAGCAGCGACGTTCCTCGAGGACTGAGCAATCTTCATCGATGGCTCATTACGGTAGAGGCCGTGTCGAGACGAGAATATTGCCGCGGCGTAAATGCTGCGTGTAAAAGAATCGGCCACCGATTGTTCTTCCACCCAACGAGGGCCGCAATAAAGCCGAAAGTAATTTAACTATTGAAGAGAGAGCGGTCTGCGGCTCGCGCATAAATTATGTCAAGAGTTCCTCTCGTCGAAAGAAGTGAGGATAAAGAGGAAATGAGAAGGTAGAGAGAGGGAGCGTTACAAAGTTCGTTCCTCGCTTTTAATTAAGTCTAATTAAAATCGGATCGATTTCGATGCGATCTCTATCATCATTTCCTTCTTTCACCTCGAGACGATTCTCGAGTGATCGATAATCTTTGATTCGATGTATTTTTTTTTTTTTTGTTAAACTTTTAACCCTTTGCGCAGTTCAACCAGTCGTTCGCGCGAATTTCAAATTCGGAGATTTGCGTTTCGAATTTAAGGGGATCGAAGCGTTCGATTGATTGGTGATAGAAGATGGTTTATGTCTTTTTATTTTTTTATTTTTTCTATTAGTAATTGGATTACTTAAAAAATTGTGGAATCCAAAAGAATCAACTTATTTCAATTTCCATTCGAATTTTATAGAACAGATATCTACTACAAGCTACTTGTAATTAACTTTACGGACTAATGCTCTTAACTTACTTTTCTGACAATCGTAAAAGTTAATTAACTTTATATTATTTTTATTCTTGTATTTTAACTTTGAAACGGTTAAAATCAATTACACTTCTCCAACTGCTTTTAAGCAAAATTTCTGTTCTGTTCTGTTTTTAATCGTGACGTATTTCATTCTGTTGCAACTCTTAAATTGTACACAATTCCCAAATTTAATTCTCTGATATTTTTAATTTCATTAAATAACGAATATTCGTATCGTCTTTCGTCACCAATAAATTATAAACTTTTTTCTTTATTCTTTTTTTACGAATTCTTAATAATATAACAATTATTGACATCACAAGTTCAAAGATTCATCTACAAAGACTACGAATTTCAAAATATCATATGAAAAATATATTTGTACATTCGTAGGTTTACTTTTTACAACTATACTTATTGCTATACTTACTATATAACTTGACCAAGCAAAGTGAAATTTTTTTTTTTAAGATCAAAGAATGAAAGAAAAGAAGTGAGAGATTTATAAAATATCCTAATTTGTAATGTTTATGGTCACTATCACAGCCAATTAAATCAACGAAGAGAAGCTAAGTGCCTTAAATTGAAACTATTTACGTGCCTTAACCAAAATTCTTCCAAGATCTTATTATATATGAGATCATGAAATAATGAAGATTAGTCGTAAAATAATTTCATTAAAAGTTCATTAAAGATTTAATTTTAATTTAATAATTTTTATAACTAATGCTTTAACATTTTGAGAAATTAGGGGAAAAATCATTTTCTTTTTTTTTTTTTGTATTTGTTTTCTTTATTAAATACTATTAAATTACTATACTCTCTATCGAAATATACATATAAAGAAGAAAAATTTTCACAAATTGAATAATGATGATACATAACAAAATAATTATATTTAGTCAATAATTTTAATCAAATTTTTTAATAAAATGAATATCCCTTTGCGTTTTTTGTTGTCACCTACAATTCTTTCTGCCCATATTCATTGAAAATTTCAGTTTTGCTGGGTCAAGCTTAATTACCTTAAAAGAAACATCGCCATCCAGCACTGCCTTTTTCATAGTATAATTAATGATAAGTTTTTAAGAAACTAGAAAAGAGAGAAAGAGAGAGAGAGAGAGAAGAAAAAGAGAGAGCTCGGAAGAGGAATTCGGGTATTTCTTTTTGCTTAAGTTTTTTTTTTTTTTTTTAATTCTTATTTCTTTGTAATATACATATTATATACATACATGTATTCGATACATAAATTTTATACATTTATTTTATTGTAATGTTACGATGGTAATCAAACGTTACTCCTTAACAATGATATGCGAGTGGCGTGGAAGGGTATTAATAAATAATAAACGAATGTTCGCTTACATTCAATCGTTCTTCTATTTTTCCATTTTTTTTTTCAATTATAATCCTTAAACTCTAACAGTTTATTTATTTATTTTTTTATTGGTAACTTCCGTTCCATCGACGTCGTCGATCACGGAGCGTACCCTCGTTTAAAAATGAGACAAAGAACGCACACATCGAGCACGAACTGCAACTTCGATTGCTGTGGAGAGGAACATTTGTTACAGTACAGCTACTCGATGATTTATTGATTTTGTTGCGGAGAGGTAATATAGATTTCTTCTTTTTTAAAAAACGTTCTTTATATTTTACAACTTTAAAAATCTTTTGATTGATTAATGAGCTTTGTAAATTTTTATTATTAGTGATAAAATATTGATTTGTTTCTTCGTCAATTTTTGATCGAATAACATTTCATTGTTTTACTTTGTCAATTTTCGATTGAAGAGAATTCTAGAAGCATCCTCTCCCCCCCCCCCCCCAATCAACATTCTCAAAGGAACGCTTCCAATTCAAAGTTTAATCGTTTATTTTATCTAATTTTCCAAGCGAAATTGCAAGAATACAAACTCGTGTTGAACATCAACAATACGATATTCCATTTTGACCAATTAACGCTCGAATACAACCTTTTCACCGAGAAAAGTTAGTTTTTCTCGGTTATATCGTGCAACACACGTTGAAGGAAATTACACACGTTGCCTGGTATCCTTATATCTAACAATTTATCGAGCTATTCGTTTAATGGTCGTGTATGGGTCGACAATAGACGAAGTCTAATGCAGTCGATATTCCTGAGCTAATGATGGCCAATTATTCCATCAGCTATACACGATGGTACAGCACCTTCTATGGAAAGTAGAAAGAGATTGCGTAACAGGAATAGCGTATCATCTAGGAACACCGTGATCGCGTCATTAATGAAGCAATGTGATATTTATGCGAGGTGTGAAATGCAAATGGAATATTTATCGTAGAATGATAGATGGAGATTTTTATGTATTACTAAGAGAGAAACGTGCGATTCGAATTGTTACGTGCATTAAGCAAAGAATCTTATCGTATTTGCTTTGCATTACTTTTTCCCCTTGAAAGAGTAAAATAAAATCTCTTTTATCGTTCTGGTTTTAAATATTTATAAACAGTGAACGATAAAATAATAATTTAAATAAAAGTTAAATATAAGTTTTTTAAAGAAAAACAACCCGTTTTTATTATATAACTCATACAAAAATTATTGAATTATCGTTAATAAGAGATGTGTTAAGATTAAATGAATTTTTTGTTTTAGAATTTTATTCCTAAGAATAAAATTGTCGATCACTTAATAAAATATTAATATTTATTTTCAAAATAAAATATTATTAAATGGAAGAAAAATAAAATCTGTTGGCGTTCTCTTATAAAAAAAATCTCCACGTGTATTCTTACCTTCCATATTCATTCCTTGCCATTAATAATTAAATATAAGAAAAGAATACTTCAGAACAACTTCCTACATAATATAATCATCATTCTATAAAAATTATTCTTAACGATTCTATGACAAACAATAAGTCACTTCATCCTCTAACGACAATTTTACCTTGTCTAATCGATTTCTTCCAACAAATTATACTTCGGCTATAAAAGTAAACGTCGAATAAAACAAAAACGAAGAAAAAAAAAAAACAAGAAGTGCAAAATCGTCATGGTGGACACTAAGCAAAATCATCCGTGTATTAATCCTTCCTCGAGTATACATGTATACATTCTTACCATCCAGATTCTTAATAGCCTATTGTCTAACAGCGTGCTTGTTAAGTATTTACTACCTTCGCGACAATGTTATTCAGGGAAGCAGAAATCTGGCGATGACAGAAGCATAGTCTGGGACTGCACGTTAACGTAGCCTGATTGTACATTAATGTACGTGAATTTGGTTCATGTGAACATAGAAGCATAACCTGCGCCAAGAATTTGCTTTTGACAGATGGATAAAATATTTAGGTTGTTCCAAAAGATATTCTTGCAACTTTGCTATTTCTAATTAATTTTAGCTAGCTGGTTGAAGTTAAAAGATACTCGAGATACTCTTTGCAATTCTGAACTGCAACTGAGAATAAATAAATACATTAAACAAACAATTTGTTATCTTATTTGCTTAAAAACAAAAATGTTTGTTTTACAATAATCTTACTTTTATCTTACGTTAAGTTAAATGTACACTGCACAATTAGAATATCGTAGAAAACTTATGATTTTCGAATATAAATTTATATCAATTTTTTGATTTTCAATTTATAAACCCTATATATTGCTGATAAATATAAATAAAAAATTTTAAAAATCTCTACTAAAAAAAATTAAATAAAATATCTTGAGAGAGAGAGAGATGATTTTCTTGAAGATCCATTAATTTCAACAGAATTCATTTCTTATAAAAAATTCTACTGATACATCATATTCAAATCTTTTTTCATACGAATCACAAACATATATATATTTAATTTCTGTTTCCATTGGTCGTTTCATTGTAATAAAAGAAAAATTTTGAAAATATTATTTATTATAACGAAATTTGGTTATTCGAAGATATTTGATTATAAATATATTTTTCGGCTCCGTGATCATCGACGACTGTTTGATGGAAATAAAGGAAAAAGATATTTTCTCTTGACTCGTTTTCTTTATTTCGTTCTAAAAATTACGATTTCAAACGCAGGCAACGCTTATCGATATACTTTTGAAGGTATCACAAACTTTTGGTGATCTCTGCTAATTACATTTACCATATATTGTCCCTATGCTTATTAATTAATCAAAGTGATTTAATCGATAATCTCGATTACTAATCCTCGTACCATGCTTTGATCGAGGTTTAACAGAGTGATTTAAATCTTAAAATGGAACATCATTAATAATCGAAGCGTTCATTATTTGATAATTTACGAAAAGACTAATAGTATAAATTCTAAAATTTAGTAATTTGTTAATGATTTAAAATAATCGAATTCTTAAGTTACGAAAGTAGATTCATTTATATTTTATATCTCTTAATTCTTTGATATTCGAAGATATTCTTTAAATAATAATTTCTACAAATGATTTATACATTCTTTCGATTAACTTTTTTTAATCCATTTGAATTTATTAAACTACTTAGCATTTTAGTCGTGAAAATTATTAATATCAAATTGCTTCCTTTGAAAATTCAAATAATTAAAAGTTAATTTATATCTAGTTTTTGTAATAATTCATTACCCTATAATTTTAGAGACCAAATAAAATCAATTGGAACCATTTTTCTCTTTTTGATAATTATATATAAATTCTATATACAAAAATAAATATAATCTACTTTGAGAAATTAATTTTCTACTAATTAAACTATTCATGCTTTTCTTAAAATAGATATTTCACGATATTCCAATTTAAGAATTAATCATCTTCTTCTAAAACTGTCCTTTCATTCTCATGAAAATTATTTATATGTTCTTCACAATAAATCTGAAATCTCTCTACATTTATGGCCTTAAACATCGACGTCATTTCGGTCGATCGAAATCCTCTCACGCCTTGAACATCATCCATTACGCTAATTTCGTTCTAAAACGAAGACACTGTTCGTGAAACAGAAATTACACGGTGCACAAAGGAAAAACCTAATCTTTTCTTCGCGTTTTCATCTGGTCGATAATTTAATCGCGCCTTTCATTTGCAACGAGATGGTACAAAAGTGTGGAGAATTAATATCACGTCGATTTTCAATGAAAATTTCGTGAAAGCTAAGAAATCGTTTCGATGAACGAATCTTGAGGGATGAAACGCTTTAAAGGAGTATTTTGGTCTAGATATTTATCTTCAAGTAAATTTTGATAACAAAAAATTTATTATTATTAATAAAATAAAAATTGAATGCTGATTGAATTTATTTGAAAATTTATTTATGTGAAAAGGAAATATTAGAAATATTCTGATTAAGAAATATTCAAAAGATTTTACTTATCTTTC